ACTTCTTTCTACCTCCAGGAGAGGAGAAGTAGCTCCTTGGCTTAGCAAGATGTGGATATTTGCTAAACTACCAGTTGGGTAGGGGCTAAGAGGGCAGATTCTACACTGAGGCTGTCTGGAGCAGCTTGGAGTTTGCCTTCCACTCAGCCTTACTCTCTTGGTTCTGCTGAAGAGTGATGGATTATTACAGTGGCTGGAGAATGTGAAATTAGAGTTAGTGGGCATAGTTTTGGCTCCAAAAGTCTAGATTGAGGTGAAGACTAGAAGGCACCTCTCACTTCCCTAACCCAGCCGTAACACTAATAAGGCTCTGCTATGATTTTGATTTTGCCATCAACATAGTTTCTAAATGTTTGAATGTGAATGGAGATTGAAAGGAGGCAAACCTTCAAAATTTAATGTCAGGTCCATGAGGATAGCCATATTTTCCCCTTTTCATTTACCACTATGTCCCCAGAACTTGGAACAGTGTAGGTGCTCAAAACATATTTGTTGAATACGTACAATTACTGATCTTGACACTTCTTTGTGATGAACCCAAGCTTTGTTGGTTGGGGCTCAAACTACATGGTGAGTTTGGAGAAGCCATTGCTAGTGGCTTTGGCCTTGGTCAGTTAGCTGTGGCTTTTATTATGGCCACACTGCTATTATAGGCATAGATAAAACTGACATTAGAGAACTAGAGCTTTAATCTGCAAAAATTTAACCTGCTAGATTGTGCAAGCAATAGAGGACATTAGTGTATGGTTTTTGATCTTTTGATGGTTGGTATTAGATATTGGAAGGTAATCAGGAATCTTCTACTTGTAAGTGACTCAAACTAATAAGGTAGTTAACTGATCAGTTCTTTTACTGCATATTTATCTACCTTCTTTCTTATTGATAACTCAAGTGTTGTTTTCTTGCCCCTAATTCACATTAGATCATCAACAACATTAAAATAAACTTGACCTAAGTGAGAGACAAAGATTCTCAGTTACAAGCTTACAGAGCCTTTTACATTTTCTCTTCTGAAGAATAAAGAAAACTGAAGTTGAGGGAAGGGTAGGGCAGATATGTATGCTGATGGAAATTGAAAAGAAAGGATGGGTGGAAGGGTGTAGGGATCTCTGAAATGGACTTGCATTCAGGTTTCTCAATGAAAGAGATTCAGGGGATAAACTGTCTTTGAGTGTCACAGGGGTAAACTCCCCCTCTACCACCCTTTGAAAACCCACCATTCAATAGTCCTGGGTCTGAGGACAGTCACCATGACTCTTGCTTAAGAAAGCAACAAAAGCATCAACATCTCTTTGAATATTAGAGTATCACACAGGTTGGAAAAAAAAGTCATAGTAACTAGTGCTTCAGAGACTGGAACAGGGGGAGTAACACTGCTCGTGCTCTTTCTCCTTTTACCGATATTGTATTTCGTGTGTGTGTGTGTGTGTGTGTGTGTGTGTGCGTGTTGGCCTTACTTTTTCCATGCTACAGATAGATAAGGAATTAGCCTACCTCCTTGCAAGGTTTAGGAAACCCACATTGTTTGGTAAGTGCCTTCTGATACTGATTGAACAGAAATCTGTTGTCTTGTGTGTTCTCCTGTGGTTCTTAGATTTAAGCAAAGAACATCATATCCCTCAATCCAGGAGAGCAAGTAAAATACCTGAGGGCATCTCTTGAGTCCTTCTGTGGTCTCTCCTCATCTTCTTTCTCTTTCACCCCCACAATGTTCTCACTCCTCTGTCAGAGGGCACAGGTGGTGTGATGTAAGGTGGGCTGGCTGCTGTCTATCTCTTGCTCATGCTCAGTGCCCCTAGGATAACTGGGAAGCTGATATTTATAAGCACAGCCCAGGATTACATTGTGTTTTTTATCACCATCTTCCTATAGATTCTTTTTCTACATTAAGCTGTTTACAGGACTCACATTCTTTGTAGCCCTTCTCAGAAAACCTGTGTACTGTGTATCCAAGTTCATTGTTGCAAGTCTCTCATGGCCACACTTGAGGCCATCTTGTGCTTAGTCTTGACCTTGTCAGAGAAAACATTTGCAATGGTGAACTTCCCTGGGCTCTTTCTCTTGTGCCCCTCTGCAGTTGTGGATATACATAAATACATGTGGGAAAAGGCTTGGACAAAGTGCAAACCCTCAGATTGTGCACTGAGCCCTGCAAGAGGGAGGCAGTGGATACTGGCTAGAAGCTCCTGGGAACACTGTTGGTTATGTTTCATTTCTGTAGCCATCTCCTCCCGAGTGGATGCCCTTGTATCATTACAGTCCCCTGGGGTCATATTGGCATATGGGAAAGAGGAGAAGGAATTGAGACAGGGAAGCTTCCAAGCAGCCTTTCTATGTTTTTCTTCTCCATATTCTTTGAGAAGCTTTGTAGTTCCTTGGACCCTTCTTGAAGTTGAGGGCTTCCCTGGCCATGATAATGCAAGATTCTCCCTGACACACTTTGGTATCAGTGGGAAGGTGCTAATACATGAAATGAAAATTAATTTGCTTCAACAACTTATTCTGAGAAACTGCTATGTAGGAGGGAAGATTTGGTATCTAAAGGAAGTGCATAAATGAAAGAGATACAATTCTGCCTCTGTGGACCTAGAATTTGGTTGAGGAGAAGAGAGTAAATTGGCCAAGATAAAGAGAAGAAGCTATAGCACAAAGCCTAAAAAAATAAATGTCCCATGAGAAGGCAAAAATGCTATGGACCTCACAGAAGATAAGATGTTGCCTTTGGTTGAGAAGATGAGGAGAGTCCCCTAAACAGTTGGAAGGGGTTTAGGATGTTAGTAAGAAATAGGCAGGTGAGATGCACAGCAATGAAAGTGTTTGAGATATGTGCAAAGTCATGAGCAGGGACAGAGAGGGAAGAAATCCAATGTGTTGGAGGTGGCTAGTAAAGAAGAGAAGTTGGTTAGAATCTGCCTTAGCCTAGGTTTATACCAGAAAGCAGAGCCTGAGACAACAATTTGCATGCAAGATGATGACAAGTGACCCTAGGGAACATAAGGAGGGGCTGGGGAAATGGAAGCAGGGAAATGAGGTAAGTCAGTTCAGGATGTGTTCTTGAACTTAGCCCTGCCATTGGTGATTATGTCTCAATACTGCTGGAATCCCCTGATGAATCATGAAGATTGGATGCATTTCAGAATTGTCCACCTGTAGAATGGATAAGAGAAATTTCCCCTCTCGCACTCTCATTCCCCATTGGTCAAGGGTTCCCATGGAGCAGCTCCCTCTCATGTCCAGGTTTATGCATGTGTGAATTCCAACTTAGGTTCCAGCAAGTTTCCTTCCCCAAGTTATCTTGGGAGCCCTGGAGCAGGAAGAGAGAAATGCTCAATGTTGCTGAGACAATACACTGCCGGGTTACACCTCCTCAAAGCTTGTTGCATGGCAATGACTGGAGGAAAAGTTCTGCTAACAGCATGTAAGGTGGGGTTCAAGGAGTATCCCAAACAGAATCATGGGCACTGAAGCAATAAGAGATAATACCAGAAGCATAGGTTTTGGGACAAATTATGCCTGGTTGAGAAATTTGAATTTAGCAGTAGATATCCATTGCAAGACCCAATACATCTACTTGTCATGTGCAAAAAAGGACAAGGTCTCTTGAGAGAAGGCAGCCTGTTATGCTCGTGTTCATGCTCAAGAAATTACAGTATATTTTTTGCAGTCTACATGGTCTTAGTGGATTTGCAGATTATATTACAAACTTTAATTAAAATAACCCTTACAAAATGGACAACTGGATTAAAAGTATCCCTACAAAGAAGCTGTAGATTGAATGTATGCTACCAAATTTCCAGAAAACATGAATAATAACAATATATCATAGCTGATGCGCCTCCTTCCAAATACTTTATAAAGTAAAAACAAAAAAACATTCCATTCTAGAAGTTGTCTGAAAGAACTGAAAACCAATATAAATGATTTTTTGAAATATGGATTGATTTACATTCACCATGGTTAACAATTGATCTTAACCAAAGTACGGTTGACCCTTGAACAACATGGGGGTAGCAGTACAGTCAAAAATTCATGTATAACTGTTGACTTCCTAATAACTGAACTAATAACCTCCTGTTGACTAGAAGCCTTGGCAATAACATAAACAGTCAATTAACACACATTTTGCATGTTATATGTACTATATACTGTATTTCTACAATAAAGTATGCTAAAGGAAAGAAAATGCTATTAACTTGTAAGGAAGAGAAAACATTTATTATTCATTAAGTGGAAGCAGATCATCATAACAGTCTTTATGCTCATCATCTTCACATTGACTGAGAGAAGAAAGAGGAGGGGTTCTTTTGCTATCTCAGGGGTGAAGAGGCAGAAGAGGTGGAGGAGTTAGAGGAGGAGGCAGGAGAAGCCGGGACATTTGGTGTAACTTTTATTGAAAAAAAAAGTCGTTTTTAAGTGGACCAGTGCAGTTCAAAATCATGTTGTTCAAAGGTTAAGTGTATACACTGTGTGTCAAATTATTAACTAAAGACATTAAGAATCCCTTATGATTATGAAGACATGCAAACTTTCACATTCATCTCATTCTTTAGCTTTGTCTTTGGGGTAGGTATTATAATGTTTATAATACACATGCAAAAAATTAATGCATCCTATTCTTTTACTGAAAAAATTGTATGAACAAAAATGTCACAGATCCACAACTTTCCACCATGGATTCACAGAAGGAATAGGAATGGATGGTTGTATCAAGCAGCATTTTGAGGTTTGATTAAACTGGGCGTGGTAGCTGAGTGGTTGGTGGGGTAAGATCAAGAAAGGATGGAAAGTGATTCTTAGTCATTATCCTGGGATAATGACATTCAAGTGAGGGTCTTGGTGCAGAAATGGATGTTTGGAGGAGGTGGTGGCTTTTGGAAGAATAAGGTAAGCTATGGATGGGTTGAACTGCTGGTGAACTCAGTTGCATGACGACCTGTTAAGATGACTCTGACAGCTTAATTCTCTAACCTGGAATCAGCCACCCACAGCTTAGGCTGAATTTAATTCACAGAATATAAGTAGAAGTTAGTGTTATTAGTTTTGTTCCTCTCCTGGGTTAGAATGATGGGCTGTCCTGATGTGGAGGAGGGGGCTATGAACCAGCCAGGGTAAGAGACTAACTGAAATAGAGAGGTGGAGCCTTCTTTATTGTGGAAAAAGAGAAAGGGCTTCTCTACTTTGTTCTCCATGTATAGGTCCATGATATTTTTCTCCTGGGGGTGGAAAAGAGGCTTGTTAGAGAGGAGGGTGGGAGGAGGAAGCTAAAGTAACTCAGCTCTGAGTGTACAACAGGAGAGTCACTGCTGCCCCCAAAGGAAGGGACAGAGGCTCGGGACACAGGCAGATGAAGCAGGGCATCAGGCAGTTAAAACAGGGAATTCACTGGGTTCCCATGGCCTAGCTCCACCCAGGATCCTCTGACACAAGGTGCTTCTGACTCTTTGAAGTATCATTGTCTTCTCTGGAATAGAGGGAGGTTTAAACCTCTTTTTGGTGCTTTTAGTATGCATTTATCTGCAGGTTAAGGCCAGTCTTGCTGTATTCTCAACCCCCAAATGGCCTCATGCATTACAACTTTCATCAATAGCAGAAGGACTAGCTTCATAACTACAATATTGCCTTGGTAAGATTTGTGTGTTTATGGTACACAGACTATAAACACGTAATCTGCAAAATTCACATTAACAATCTCTTTTTGTCTCCTCTGCTGTGCAGCAGCCTTTGCTTTAGTGAGAGCATCCTATCATCTTAGAGGGTTTCCAGAAGGTAGTTAATCAGAACTGAGAATGGAGAAACTACTGTTCTTTGGCTTTTCTGAAACATTCCTGTAAGTGTGTTTGCTATCTTTCAGAGGATCTATGCTCTGACATTAAAAAAAGTGTTATCTCCATTCCAAAGGCAGCATTTATAGATTTGGGGATAAGCCAAGTCAGAATTATTTTCTTACTTTGAATAATCCAGAATTGCAAGAATATTACTTTTATTCAGCAACATATTGAATGAAATCAAAAGTTCATTCGATGGTACTTCTCTCATTAGCTGCACAATGACTCACCTTAAGCTGCAAATTAGGCTTGCCCTGAATTTCTGCACAGAAGAGACAGAGCTCTTTTCCCTTGATTCCCAGGTAAACTACATTACCCTTTTTCTCATCACCAAATTCTGTGTCTCTACAGGCTATTAAATCAAGAGTGACTGGAAACACAAAGGAAAATGAAGGTGTTAGGCTCCAAGTAGCATGAAGTTTCAGTCTTTCTGGTCTGACACTTAGTTACTCCTCCCAGGCAGGGAATAGTGACAGGCTTCTCCCAGACAGGCTCTTTCTATTAGCTATGTGGCAGGCACCCTCCATCACCCTCCTCAAACCCATTTTGTTTTTCTTCCTTAATGTCAGAACCCCAGTTGTCACCAGAACACATTGCTTCCCAAAAATAAAGGTAAAATTTCCTACCACCCTTGCAGCAAAATGTGGTCATATGCTTAAGATGTAGCCCATGAGATAAATGTGGGGAGCTTATATCTCATGGGCTACCACGGGAGATGGGATGGGAGCTACACAGATAAAGTGAGAGGAAGCAGTGAGAATGTAATGGCAGTGGTCCAGGCAAGAGATGATGTTATCTTAGAAATCAGGCATGTTTTGCACACAGACCTAGCAGTCTTTGCTAATAGATTGGATGGAGAGTGAGGGAAAGGAGGAATCAAGGAAGCCTCCTGTATTTCTGGCTCAAGGAAATGAAGTGGATGGAAGTGCCACTAACAGAGATTATTAATGGTTTTGAGAAGACAGACGCATAGTTCCACTTAGGATACATGAATTTAGAGGTTTCTGAGAGAACCTCAAAAGGATGTGGATAAACTATTCAGAGGAGATAACGTGTTTGAAGTGTAAATGGCAGAGTGAATGAGCATAGGGGTGATTCATCAATCCAAAAAACCAGCTCATTACCCATTTACAGGGCTCATAAATGATTCCTGAGGAATGTCATCATTTGGAGATTTCAGAGATAAAGAAGATTCATAAAGGAAAATGCAAAAGAGGAGCCAGTGAACCTCATGAGAAGGAATGTTCTTATAGAAGGAGAAGATGTAGAGTATTCAAGAAGGAAAGAGTTCATTACACCAATGAGCTGAGGGCCAAATAGAATGGGGACCAAGAAGCATCTGAAGTATTTGAAGGTCATGGGTGAGATAGGAGGTTGGGGGAGTAGTCAGAGTAATCCAGACATTAGAATGTTTGGATGTAAGGATGACTAGGAGGTAAAGCAGATGCAAACTATCCAGCCAGCTCTCATGAAGTTTGGCTGTGATTGGCGTAAGAAAATGTGTTGATAGGAATAAAATGTGGGAATCAAGAAGGTTTTGGCAGTAAGATTGGCGATATTAGATTACAGCATGTCTGACGGCGATAGAAAGGGTCCAGTAAACAAAGGTGGAATTTGCAGGGAAGCAAGGAATTAAATCAAACATTGATGTTCCGGAGAAAGGGAAAGAAGCTGAGATGGACTGCCTTTTGATGGGAGGAAGGACTGTTTCCCCATTATTAGAAAAGAGGATGCCAACTTAGAAAGCTGTGTAGGTTTGGTGGTGGAAAGACGATGGAGTTTGAATCTCAGGACATAGGTAGCCAGGTTTGGAAACTGAAGGAGAGAAACTCCAAGGGGAAGGTCAGCTGTTGCTTGAATGGATAAGCCCATCTAATCTGAAGATATTTTCTTTAAGTAAGAGGAGCTGTCAACTCCTTGCACCGTCATTTATAGATATGAGATTTCCTTTGTCAAAATGAATCATAGTGCCATTTCTCACTTGACCTTCCTGTGGTCATTGGGCTGGTGCCTAGAAGTGGGCAAGGTCCAGGGCCAGCCTTGTGCAAGCTCAGCCTCATTCCTGGTGAAGCTGGCATCCCCTCAAGAAGCAACAGTGGGCTTGATTGTCACTCACCAGGCTTAACACTTCTGTTAAGAGGAGGTGCTATTAAAGAATTTCCACTCAGGACCCACATCATCTTTTGAGAATCATGAATAACATAGGATTTGGGTGCTACCTCCACTGCCAGATGACAAAAATGCACCTAATACATGTGAAGTTATCAACTTCAGGACTCCAGTTGCATCCTGGTGTTAATGGTTTTTGAGTTTCTGGAGAGAGTCTCATTGCTCTGAGAAGTACTGGCAATAAAGATAAATAGAGGGGAGATAGGGCAGGGGCCCGTTTGTGAATCACAGCATCTGAAAGGATCTATATGCAATCACAGTCCCAAGATTCACCTTTTTCTAGGGCTACTAGTGACTTGTCCTTTGCTGAATGATAAAATGTCTAGGTGGTAACAAAACCCCATAATATTTAAATTAGTTATCAGTATGTTGTTTTTTAAAAATCCTCTTATCAAAATAAACAAGGAATTCTAAATACAGATAACAACAAAAGAGCTAGATGCCCTGAGATTTTCGAAGGCTGTTTTATGAACTGAGTTTATTATTATTATTATTATACTTTAAGTTCTTGGGTACATGTGCAGATTGTGCAGGATTGTTACATAGGTATACACGTGCCACGGTGGTTTGCTACATCCACAGCCCTGTCACCTACATTAGGTATTTCTCCTAATGTTATCCCTCCCCAATCCCCCAACCCTTTGCTCCCTCTCCCCTAGCTCCCGCAATCCCCCCAACAGGCCCCAGTGTGTGTTGTTCCCCTCCCTGTGTCCATGTGTTCTCATTGCTCAACACCTGCTTATGAGTGAGAACATGTGGTGTTTGGTTTTCTGTTCTTGTGTCAGTTTGCTGAGAATGATAGTTTCCAACTTCATCCATGTCCCTGCAAAGGACATGAACTCATCCTTTTTATGGCTGCATAGTATTCCATGTGCCACGTTTTCTTTATCCAGTCTATCACTGATGGGCATTTGGATTGGTCCCAAGTCTGCTATTGTAAACAGTGCCACAATGAACATATGCATGCTTGTGTCTTTAGGATAGAATGATTTATAATCTTTTGGGTATATATCCAGTAGCAGGATTGCAGGGTCAAATACCATCTCTGTTTCTAGATCCTTGAGGAATTGCCACATTGTCTTCCACATGGTTGAACTAATTTACCCTCCCACTAACAGTGTAAAAGCATTCCTGTTTCTCCACATCCTCTCCAGCATCTGTTTTCTCCAGATTTTTTAATGATTGCCATTCAAACTGGCATGAGATGATATCTCCATGTGGTTTTGATTTGCATTTCTCTAATGACCAGTGATGATAAGCATTTTTTCATATGTTTGTTGGCTGCATAAATGTCTTCTTTTGAAAAGTCTCTGTTCATATCCTTTGCCCACTTTTTGATGGGGTTTTTTTCTTGTAAATTTTTTTAAGTTCTTTTTAGATTCTGGATATTAGCCCTTTGTCAGTTGGGTAGATTGCAATTTTTTTTTCCCATTCTGTTGGGCGCTGGTTCACTCTAATGATGTTTCTTTTGCTGTGCAGAGGCTCGTAAGTTTAATTAAATCCCAATTGTCTATTTTGGTTTTTGTTGCCCTTGCTTTTGGTGTTTTAGTCATGAAGTCCCTGCCTATGCCTATGTCCTGAATGGTATTGCCTAGGTTTTCTTCTAGGGTTTTTATAGTGTTAGTTCTTATGTTTAAATCTTTAATCCATATGGAATTAATTTTTGTATAATGTGTAGGAAAGGGGTCAGTTTCAGCTTTCTGCACATGGCTAACTAGTTTTCCCAACACCATTTATTAAACAGAGAATCCTTTCCCCATTGCTTGTTTTTGTCAGGTTTGTCAAAGATCAGATGGTTGTAGATGTGTGGCATTACTTCTGAGGCCTCTGTTCTGTTCCATTGGTCTATATCTCTGTTTTGGCACCAGTACCATGCTGTTTTGATTACATAGTCTTGTAATGTAGTTTGAAGTCAGGTAGTGTGATGCCTCCAGCTTTGTTTTTATTGCTCAGGATTGTATTGGCTATGTGGGCTCTTTTTTGGTTCCATATGAAGTTTAAGGTGTTTTTTTCCATGAACTGAGGGTTTTAGCAAAAGTTAATATGTTTATAGCTTAGCAAATGATAGGGGTCTTTCCATCCTATTGTCTTCGATGAGGTCGTGTGGAGATATTTCCAAGCTAGTTTGCAATTCACTGCTTATGTGGGTTCATGATGTCTTCAGAGCCTTTTGTGAGGAGGACAAGGTAGATCAGATGGTGGGAAGGAGTTTGTCAATGGTTGGCCATGTGAGAGAAGGAGAGAAGAAAAATGTTATCCTTTTTTTCTCCTCTCCACCTAAAATTTTACTGTAAAAATTCTTTAGAGAGAACTGCCCTGAGAGCCTCTCCCACATGAATATTTGAGAATAAGGATGGGCACAGCATATTTCGAGGTGAGAAAACCCTGAATGGAAGCTCCCATATCTGCTGTGGCTGGCATAGTCCTGTTTCTCCAGGCTGTGATGGTCTTGGCATACATTCCATTCATCACATATGGCATTGTTAGGAGATTCCAACACATCACCACAGGCACCTTCTAGTGCTCTGAGTCTCATGAGTTGAGAGGAAGGAGGGAGTGTGTGTGTGTCTCCATTTTAGCTCTCCACACAGTGGGTTAATCTATACTTTTCCTGACTTCAAGCTGAACACTCCTAAGTAATTGGTAGCTAGCCTGCCTCACTGAGCCCATCTTCCTCCATTCCTCAACTAAAGAGGGATCTGTAAGGATCCTGCACATGGCCGTTGATGGGCCCCATGAGGTGCTTTGACTATTAGGGGTCATCTGCCTCCTTCTAATTACGTCACCATAACAGCCCCCAAGAATATCACAGACCCTCCATAATGAGAATCAGTTGTTCACAACCCTCCTTCCCTCAGGGTCCTTGATGTCTGACTCAATAGTTGTTCCTACACGGTGGGTAAGCAGATCACCAACCTGCACCCTTGTAAGCAGCCCTTTGACAAGACTCCCAGAGGCACCCTAAGGCTAGACACACAGAAGTGAAAGAAGTTCCCCACACCTGGCTTCTGAGCAGCAGATTACCTTTAGCAAGAGATGCTCTTATCCCCAGTTCAAAGTCAAGGCTCTACCTGCATGAAAGTGTTCTGAAAACTGTTCCAGGACTCCCAAGCCCCTTAGTGACCAAGGAAAGAGCATCCTCTCCTGCCCTTGGGTGTGTTCACTTTGTCAAGAAAGCTGATAGGGCCCGAAGGTCTTGTGAGGCTCTGGATGAGTGATAGTGGAGCAACACAAGTATAACTGGTCTGTGCTTCCTGACTAATAAGAGCAGAACCAACATCAGAAAACAGCAATGAGGAAATGGAGATTAGACCAGATGGTGAGTTGAGGAGAATGCCTTTACTGGTCTTCCTTGGAGGCAGAGGTGTGACTTTCTTTACTCACTAAACTGCATGAAGCCATTGCTGTGTTTCCATCTGATGTTAGGCCAATCACAGTACTCCTTGCAAAAGTTTTACACACCCACTGTGTCACATTCATATTGTACAAATATTGAGAGCTTATTCTGTTTCTGATAAAGTTGTAAGAGCTTTACCTGAATAAGTTTTTAATCTTCACACACAACTCCTCAGGGGCCATTAATCTTATTTCTCATGTAAGAAAACAGAGGCTCTGAGGGATGACAGAACATGCCCAAAGTCATACAGCCACTAAGAAATGTAGCCAAGTTAGAAGCCAAGTCTCTCTATTCTGAACCATTATGTGACAAGCCTTCTGTGAGTCATAGTCTCCTGCATGCTGCACTAGCTGGAACACAGGTCTTGCTTTCAGTTGTGGATACTGAAAAATCTATAATGCGTCCAGGAGAGGAGAGACTCCCAGTGCCAGCAGAGCCTAAAGAAACTGGGTGGTCACATTCTTTGGAAGAATTTGGCAGAAACTCCCACCCCGACTCAGAACTTTTAGACACTTAAACTTTAGAAGACTGAAGGCTCTCATGACTCCATGCAAATAAGCCAGTGGTTGGCAGAAGGGTTGAAATCATGACATTTTCTCCAAGGGATCAATGTTTCAAGTGATGGGATGTCCAACCCTCAAAAGAATTTGAACCTGGGAGCTATTTAGTTCCTGTGAGCACCTCATGATGGAGACAGGCAGGGTGACACTGATGGTCACACTGTCCAAAAAAACTACACGCACTGTGTACTGAAATCAAAGGAAGCCAGACTGTACCAGAAGTGTGGGAACCCCTCCCTCTGGAAACCTAAAGACAGTTCTGCAAGAACTCTGCCTTTTCTATCCTTTCCTACGCTTGTTCTTGGCCCCCAACATCTCAGCACTGCTAGGGGAACATGATCCATGTGCCTATACCCACCATCCTGAGAAGCTCTTCTGAAAAAAAAATAAATAAATAACAAGAAAGTTGTGAAGTTTGACTGGGATATTGTTAGAGGACCTCATATCCAGTGAGAAAAAAGCAAGTGAATATAGCAATATCGAAAGTAGAAATTAAAGAAGAAAAGGAAAAAAAGAGAGAAATATTTTGATTTTTATGCCTAGATGACTTGATGGTTAATAGATGGGTTAGCTAAATAAATGAGTTAGCTAAGGAAATAGATTAAGAAGAGGACAATGCCAGGAATCACAAAATAGTGGCTGCACCCAGGGAGGGGGTTTGAAGATTCTCAGGATGAAGCTGTGTTTCTGGTATAGAGAATGCCTTTCCTGACTGGATCGAGGATTGGGATAAAAGAAGGGAAGTGGTTTGGTGGGGAAGACATGAAGACATACCAGGCTCTGTTGTTTGTAATTTTGCACTTTTTGATTCTTTTTTTTTTTTTTTTGAGAGAGAGTCTTGCTCTGTCGCCCAGGCTGGAATGCAGTGGTATGATCTTGGCTCACTGAAACCTCCTTCTCCCAGGTTCAAGCAATTTTCCTACCTCAGCCTCTCAAGTAGCTGGGATCACAGGCATGTGCCACCACACCTGGCTAATTTTTGTATTTTTTGTAGACACGAGTTTCACCATGTTGGCCAGCCTGGTCTTGAACTCCTGACCTCAAGTGACTCACCTACTTTGGGCTCCCAAAGTGCTGGAATTCA